CCTCGAAAAGTTCTCGAGAAACTCGATACTCCGTCCGAACTCCGAACGACTTCCGGACGGACCCGCGTAACCCGAAGTGACAACGAATCTTGGGCCGGACCCTGCTGGATCCATAATTTCCAGTTCTCCAAACAACATCGCTTCCAGAGAAGAGTCTCAGAGTGGTCTCGATGATCGTCCAATTCGGCTTGCGTATCGAGCACGCGTATCGATGAAGCCACACGAGAAGCTTAAGTAGAACATATTTCCGTGGCCATGTTAAAATAAAAGTTCGACGTGACGTACTCCTCATTCACCGCACCGAACCAATACTGGGAGAATCGCGTCATCATTCGCTCCCACGTCGTATCCTTGGTCAAAACTTTCAAATTTTTCGCTTGTAACAGAATCGTGATATCACGAAACTGTCGAAATGCCGGCCGTTGAACCGCGATCAAGATCGACTCCCAGACTCGAGGCAATTGTTCCGGAGGAAGATAAGACATGAGTTGCTGTTCTCGCGATATCGGATCGATTCGTTGACCACGAGTCTCCACGCCGCGAGCCGTCGCGTTATACCGACTGTGATCGTAACTCGACGGGTAGTGTTGGACATGGGAACTGCTGTAATACTCGTAAATAATCGGAAGCAAGATGTCGTCCATCCATATGCGAAAATCCTCGTCCCGGAGTCGACTCGTCTGCTGATGTTCTCGATACAAATGGGGAAATAGAAAGTAGAGGGAAACATCTTCGAAGCCCACTAGACGACCGAAAGTGTAGTGCGGAATTTGGTGAACCGGACTTGAAGCTCCATTTATAAACACACGAATGCTATATTATTGCACAGAGCAACTATCTGTAACATCGTCTCAATGTTTCTATGGTGGGATATACACACAACACCCCTGTCCAACACAAGGTCTCATTGAACGCCTGAATAGTAGCAAGTGCCCCTTTATTGGAAAAGGGGTTCACTGTTATATAGGAGATAGCTAACTAAACGTGTATATATTTCAGCAAGCTGGCAGAACAAGTTGTAGAAGAATAACGGCTTATAACTTCACTACCACGCAGGCATATAAGGTGTTGAACTGTGAGACAATATATGGCAACGTTTTCAGCGTGGCAATGAATATTCAGCTAGACAAGAGTTTCGTCTACGAGCTGAACACGGAGACACCGAAAGATGGCGACAATCTTTGTCCATATAAACATGCAAGGCAGGACCTCAACTTGACAGAGAACAGAGCACTCCTTCAACTCTAGTTGTACCACACAAAGTTTGACACAAGGCTATCGGCAGGCACACGAGGCTATTCGACAGCCACAGTGGGCCTGCCAAGACCGTTTGAAGGGCTTCTATCACACACACACACAAAGGAGGCGATATCTCTACAACACACACATTTCGACAAAAATAATCAACACCAAAGCTCCCCTCCTATGGTCCATCACTGACGAACTGATAAATGGGGCGCCACAACCAATGAATGCTTGAGCTAGACAAGTTCACCGACAGGAAGGTTTGAACCCCCCTCGGTATCACTCAGTTTAACATCAACAATCACTGGCTGGAGCATTACGTTTACCCATCTAGGGCACCTAGAAATCTAGGCCGGACAACCCTCTTACCTTACCTATGATCGAACACTAGTAAGGCCCCTCAATTCTATCGGTTCGACTAAAACTTGGTGTGCCCACGAAGTTTCGTCCTTGATAGGTCAACCACGATTTGGTGTCAATTTTGAAGCAGTTTTTGGCATTATAAAATATAAACTTGTTTTTTTTTTTTTAATTTTGGAACCACCCGGTTGCAGCTTGGCGTTGTGCGGCGACGCCAAGACCGTCGTGCTAGCTGATCACGTAAGCATACGGCTTGGCAAAAGTCACGTGATATTGTCATATGGAAGTTCCTACCGCGTCGCCATCGGATCCAGTCTATAGGCACTCTACTCGATATCGACGTGATCTACCCATCGGATCCAGTCTATGAACCATATGGCCCCCCCCCCGGAGGGTGCGCCCTTCCTACTCGACATCGACATGGTCCGTAGATTGGATCCGATGAGTGAACCACCCTACGGATCAAATATTTTCCGAACCACCGCCGTCGGATTAACTATTTTTCCAACATACCATTTTCGGATTAAATATTTTCCGGCCTCACCCTCATCGGATCCAATCCGTGGACCATGTGCCTCCCCCGGCTCCCACTCGTGGTTCATGGATTGGATCCGATAAAGTCCCCCCGTCGCTCATCGGATCCAGTCTGTGGGCCACCCAGAGAAGCTCTACTAATCATACTCGAGATGTTTCGTAACCGAGCGTGAACGACAAGCCTCGACGTCGATATGATCCATGGATTGGATCCGATGGTGGCGGCTTTTCATCGGATCCAGTCTGTGAACCACTTAGACAGACTTGACTACTCGCGCTCGAGATGCATCGTAACCGAACGTGAACGACAAGCCTCGATGTCGAGATGATCCATAGATTGGATCCGATGGGTCGTAGTATCTTATTGTTGGACAATGTTACGTGGGTCACACTCGGTGTGGACGTCACGTGGGTTGAGGTCAGGGACTGTGAACACTGAGGCACGGGAGTAGAGATACAGAGCGTGTCGGTGTATCTAATGGTAGGGGTGTGATAATGAACGAAGTTGACTACGAAGGACACGAGGGTGTGGACTACGGCTATATAGACAGCTCCCTGATCCCATACGGGCAAGAACTCCTGACCTATGGCTTATGGACTCCCTGACCTGCCACTAGTCCATAGTCTCATAGATCAAATACTTCCCTTCCTGGAAATCACGTGTGCTCGGCACACCTGCCCTTCCTGTCTTCCTACAAAGCCACTCGTGACAGACAATAGCATTGAACAAATGCTAGCCAATCATTTACAACAGACTAGGATATATTGCAACACTCGCTCAATAAACTGTATCACCATCAACAGGCAGTAATGGTGACGTGCGCTCGTTAGATAGATATATAGATGGGCTCTCTCCTACACTCATGAGGAAGAGCCAGAGCACTCTTTCAATTCCACGAAGTTCAACAAGATCCGATGAGTGAACCACTCTAACGGATCAAATATTTTCCGGCCTCACCCTCATCGGATCCAATTCGTGGACGATGTGCCTCCCCGGGGCTCCCACTCGTGATTTATGAATTAGATCCGATGAAGTCCCCCCGTCGCCCATCGGATCCAGTCTATAGACCGCCCAGAGAAGCTCTACTAATTATACTCGAGATGTCTCGTAACCGAGCGTGAACGACAATCCTCGACGCCGAGATGATTCATGGGTTGGATCCGATAAGTCGTAGTGTTTCATCGAATCCAATCTGTGAACCACTCAGAGAAGCTGTACTAATCACACTTAAACGCTTCGTAACCGAGCGGGAATAGACAAGCCTCGACGTCGTTATGATCCATGGATTGGATCCGATGGCGGCGGCCTTTCATCGGATCCGATCTGTGAACTACTTAGACAGACCACTACTCGCGCTTGAGATGTATCGTAACCGAGCGTGAACGACAAGCCTCGATGTCGAGATGATTCATAGATTGGATCCGATGGGTCGTAGTATTTCATCGGATCCAGTCTGTGAACCACTCAGACAGGCTCTACTAATCGCACTCGAGACGCTTCGTAACCGAGAGTGAACGACAACCCTCGACGCCGAGATGATTCATAGATTGGATCCGATGGTTCGTGGTATTTCATCGGTTCTAATCTATGAACCACTTAGAGAAGCTCTATGTCATGGCACAACCTGAAATCCCCTCGAACGGTCTTGGCAGGCCCACTGTAGCTGTCGAATAGCCTTGCTCATAGCCTCGTGCGCCTGCGTGGTAGCCTTGTAGCATAACTGTATCTGTTGGATGACGAGAGGTCTCCATGGGCAACAACGTTACAGATGGTTGCTCTGTGCAACAGTGTAGCATTCGTGTGTCTATAAAAGGAGCCTCAACACCTCGATAGGTAGATAGGGAACAGAGAGCGCTCCTTCATCTCGAGTTGTACCACAAGTGCGACAGTTATGAGCCCGGCTATCGCTGCCGCCATTGCCTAATTTGTACTAGTCGCTTGTCTACACTTGCATAAGTGGATCGGATTAGGAAATCGATCAACACGGAACAACGTTATTCCTTCAAAGTATCTAGAACATTCGAACCCCACTTTGTTTTGTCAACATGAGCTTGAATCAATCGGACAGCTCTCCTGTCAAATCGGTCGTTGTCATCCTTGAGAAACCTTCGGACTGGAAGGAATGGTTGTTCACCATTCGCCAGAAGGCTGAGAACAACGATATTTGGCAGTATGTCGATCCGTCAAGGAATACACCACCGCAAACCCTTGAGAAGCCTGTGTATCCTCATCCCAAGGATGCGATGAGGCCGTTACCGAATAGGCAAATCACAGATGCCTCGACAATTTATGGTCTCGATGACAGGGAGATCGAAGTCTATCGTGACTTGAGGGATCGATACAAGATCCAGCTTGAGGAATGGAGAGCGAAAGACAAAGCCATGAAGGAGTTGAATGACAAGATTGTCGGCTCGGTCGCTCGCACGAACCACACGTTCATTGAGGACTCGAAGACCCCTTTTGATAAGTTGAGGGCGCTCAAGAAGCACCTTGCACCGACAGATCGCGCTCATGAAATGGAATTGATCAATGAGTACCGCAACAAGCTAGCGAAGCCACCAGCCACGCGCAACGTTGACAAATGGCTTCAATCCTGGGAGACCTTCTACAATGAAGGAAAGAGAATCAAATTGACGGAAGTTCAGGGTACGAGACCCATGTATGACTTCCTTGAAGCTGTCAAAGGATATGCTCCTCAGTTTAGTGGCGAACACACGAACGCACTACTGAGAGGAGAATCGAGAGATATCACGAACTTGTTTGAAGAGTTCCGTAATATCAGACGACTTGAAGCCGCGAGAGGAAGAACGTCGACATCACACACAGCATTCGCATCCTTCCAAGGACGTTCAGGGCCGAGGGCGCCGTGTCACTGTGGAGAGGAGCACTGGCTGAGAGAGTGTTGGTATGTCGTCGACTCGTTGCGACCGAATGATTGGAAGCCCGATCCCACGATCATGAAGAGGTTCCAAGATAAACTGAAGAAGAATGCAAAGTTTGCGTCGCTCGTTGAGAAAGCACGCAATGAAGCATCACAACCACGATCGAAAGGCTCACAGCAACAGGCTACTAAGCAGCAAAGAGCCATGGAATGCGAGAAGAATGAAGCATCTACAACGACTACGACCGAAGCATCCAAGTTAACAGGGTCGTTCACTGCTGTCTATTCGATGTCGAGTGACTACAAGTTGCGCACGCGCTGGATACTCGACTCAGGCGCAGATGTACACGTTTACAGCGGTAACATTGACGGTTACACGCGTACTCGTGAATCCTCAGAATCGCTCTACGTTGGTAGAGGCGTGTATCGCATTGAGAGTTGGGGAACTTTTGACGTCACCGTCAACACAGATCAAGGACTACGGATCATGACACTGCAAGATGTGGCGTACGTGCCTGACTTCAACACTAACATAATCTCACTGTCGAGACTCGTGAGAAAGGGTGTACACTGGGATACGGCAACACGTCGCCTTTACCGAGACGGTATGCCTCTCTGTCACG